TCCTGATTGTATCAATTATAAAATGTAAAAATAATTTAAATAACTTTTATATCTGTAAATTTGACAATCTGCAATTTCTTTTTGAAGACTATAAAAAGATGGAATACCACATTTTGCCAAGTACTATCACACATGACTTTCATGTGTGTGATTTCTAATGCATTGAATTCAGTTTGGCTGCAAATAAGAATGAAGTAATGCTTTGGACATCCTGAAGAATTACAATCCAATGTGGCTAATCTGAACAATAGCCAAGAGTATTTAAGTATTTCACATGGAAAAAATTTCTCCAACTACATAATTACAAACTACTCTCCCTGACCCCTCCTCTCTCTCTCACACACATACACACACACACAAATTTATACCTTTGGAGAACTTCAACAAACATGACCACTATTTCCCCACCCCTTCCAGCAATCTTATGTTTCATAAAACAAAATTCAATTGAATGTGCTTTGAATCAAGTGAGTTTGGTATACTATTCAATATTGAATACAATATATCTTTAGATCTTTATACAAAAGACCTCTCGTTTTTGAGCTATTGCCTCCCTTCCATGTCAATTTTTAAAATTTCACTTCTCTGCACATCATCAGGGGCCAGACGCATATAAAAACCAGAAATCAGGTGTGAAGATAATTCTCTATTTACAAAACACATGCAATTGTACATGTGTTGAATCTGTTCATGAGTTAGTTAAACCAAATCAAAGATGCAATCTATAAATTTTATATATGAAGCTCTGTACCAATTCAACATGTGATATGAGTTATCCCATGCTCACATCAGTTCTGAAAGTTTTATAACTTAAGTGAAGAGTAATTTATATTAATAACAGGAGACAAGGAGTGCTGGAGACAATTATGAGTTCTATTCCCACCATCTCCTTTGAATACATTTAATTTTACATGGAAAATGTAACAAACATGAATAATTAAGTATTGGATCAATGAGATATTCTCATAGTGCACAAAGATGCAGCTGGTAACTTTGCAAAATATCTAAAAGACAGTATCTTTTCACTAACAAAATATTCTTCTCCAAACCAAGATTTTTTCAACTCAAAATCGATGTAACTGTAAAACCAGTGACATGATATGCATCGTTGCTTCTGAAGTGGCCTTTTAAGTCCAAATTTTATGAGGTCTTCATTTGTGAAAGCAGGTATAGTGAATGGTAAGCAAAACTTTTTTTTTTTTTTAATTGAAAAATGGCTTCTTGGATTGTATATATATTTTCAAGAAAAATTTTCATGACATACAATTTTTTCTGATTTTCCAACAAAATTGGAAACTAATTTGGGTTTTTGGTTTGAACAGAATGGTATCAACATGAATATTTTTCAGTTTGGTGTTTTTTCTCCCACCCTTTCTTTCTTTCTGAATCCCCAAAAGAGAGAAAATCTCTGCCCCCCCAAAAAAGAAAACAAAAAAATATGCTTGTTTTGATTCCATTTGATTTGAAACTAAACAATTTTTTTGTCTGAAATAGATTCGCCAACAAAAAATAAAATCAAAAATCTGTGAAACATTTTGATCAAAATGAAAAATGTTCATTTCATTCCAAGTTTTTCACAATAATTTCCAGTCTTTAAGCAGACCCTAATGATTTGTTTTTACAGATTTGGAAAAGAGCTAAGGAGAGCTCTGGGAAGGAAACAAATGACAATAGAGAAAAGATACATGTTTTAAGTCTTTTCTGTGTGTTGAAAATTGGTGTAATTGTCAAAGTCAGCTGTCCGTCCCTCACAATTTTAAGCAAACCAAGACTGAATAAAATGAAAATCTAGTACTTACCTGAATTACATATTCCCCAGAAACACTACCATGGAAATCAGCAAACTGCCCTCTACAATATATTCTGACCTGAATAGCTATTCTGGTAATAGAGACATAACAGCAATCAGGAAAACCTAGCAAACCAGGAAAATGGCATTACCCATCTAAAAGAAACAGTATCATGACTGCTGCTCCATCTATTCATTTAGTGCTGCCTAGTCAGTTTTTAAAACAAACTGAAAAGATTTTTGAGTGTTTTATATTAATGGCATTTTCATTTAGGAAAAATGTCTTTGTAGGTATACAAATACAAAATCTTATTAAATATATAAAAAGTGCTGAAAATCTTTTTCTTATACTTTATCGTGTTTCACATAGTTACAGTGGCTTCTATTCCATTTTAACTGCTTTTCATAGAATTGTAGGACTAGAAGGGACCTCGAGAGGTCTTCTGGTCCCTGGCCCCTGCACTCAAGGCAGGGCTAAGTATTATCTAGACCATCCCTGAGAGGTGTTGGTCTAACCTGCTTTTATGTCATTTGTTAACGTTAATCAATTTTCTTTTAATTTTCCCCTCTTTATTGCCAAATAAAAGGGCCTATCTTTTATAAAACTCAAAGAGGAAGACTCCAGTGCATCTTCCTGCGTACTTGTATAGTCAATGTTTTCTAATTTAATCCTCCACAAAATCTTTATGCTCTAGATATATTTTTAGAAAAAAAAAGAACTAGAGTTTTCACCAAAGGAAATAAAAGGAACATACATTGTAAATACTTTTCATTTTGATTTTCTCTGTTGAATGACACTACAACGTTCATTACTGAATGAGATGCAAAAAGTTATTAATACTTTAGAGACTTGGAAAAGATACTACTGTGTTTAGCAGGATGATCACAATATTTCACATACAACTTTTAAAAATTTTCCTATGTTCCTCTCCACAAACATATCTTAAGTGTGTACAAAAACATAGTCAAACTTCTGATCAATAGGGGTTCTGTCAATGTATAAAATGTATTTCCCCCTAGTAAACAGAACATCGCTATATGAAGTTCTACAATAGGGCAATTAACCCCCCAAACATTTATCAAAATAAATAAACTGAACTACTAAACAAAAAAACCAGACAATCCCGAGTTCACATTTTGCCCTACATCGTTTAACATAAAAGAGGAAATATTAAAAAACACAGAAAGCAAACACATCCTTTAGTAAATCTCTCTCACCACTGGGTGCCACTCTTGCTCTGTATAAAACAAGAAGCCTAACATTAAGTCAATCTCTTTTTGCAGCTTTAAACAATTAGAGTTCTTTTAAAATAGCAGAGAAAGTAAAGACAGTAAAGTGCCAACAAAATGTTTCATATTCAGTTTTCTAACCAATGCTTTACTATCTTCAGTGAAGACTTTCTAAAGCCTTCTTACTGTTGCTACTACTAGTGAAGTTGCAGTAGGGATAGCAATGGTGAGAATGTTTAAGGGGGAAAATTGAATGCAGTGCAGAAAAATCCTTATGGTATTAATTTGTTTTTTCAGTTAAATTATGTTATGATGTAATTAATCAGACAATGTCTAAGTCCTACTATTCAAAGAAATACACATCTATCTTACGTATTTAGATGGTATTATAAGCATCTCACAATCTTTTAAAGTGTATTTATCCTCATAACACTGCTCGGATACAGGGAAGTACTAGTATCCCCCTTTTACAGAGGGAGATTGGAGTCTCATAGGCTAAGTACCTTGTCCAAGGTCACAGGAAGTCTGTGGCAGAGAAGGGAACTAAACTTAGGTCGCCTGAGTCCCAGGCTAACGCCACTGCACTGCTACTGGACCAACCTTCCTTCCATTATTATTTAAATTCTTTTAAAATATTCATTTTAACTGTACTGATGGTCTCAAAAACTTGTCATTTGTGTTATTGTTTGTTACAGTGTAACAAGCAACATCTCAATGGGTGCCTGTTACTTTCCACATACATTCTACTAGCACGGGTCTACTTCTCATATGCCAGTCTATTAGAATAAAAATATTTACTGCACTTCTCTATGAATGAAGCTGTTATCAAACACATGAAAGACACTGTGAATACTAGCAGTTAGCATCTGTCAAGGAGTTTTATTCCTAGTATTATTAGAATGAAGAATAATTTGAGAAACTGAAGAAGATTCTTTTCAAAGACACTTCTCACACATAAGTCAGTTAGACTACAGACTGAGGAATCTGTACAATAGGAACAGTTCTCCCTGTTTCTGTGTCCCAAGCACATATGCACCATGTGCATATATTCATGCAGTAACCTTATTGTGATAAATGAAGGGGGCAGGAGGAAGCTCCCTTTTATGAACACCCAGCCAGCCAATTAGCTATAAAGTCCCTCTTGGTGGCTGTTCTCTGCTTGCTTTACCTGTAAAGGGTTAAAAAGTCTCCCTGGCTAGGTAAAAGAAAGACAGTGGGCACCTGACCAAAAGAAACAATGGGAGAGCTCGAACTTTTTAAAATTGGGAAAAAACTTTCCCTTTGTCTGGTTGTTATTGTTCTCCAGAGAGTGGAGACACAGAGCAGCAGCGCTATAAGCAGCTTTAAAACAAAGTATGAAAAAGCATCAATTCATACCTCAACACTACTCATCTGAAACCCCAAATATGTAAGTAATCAGGGAATGTCTAGAAAGACACGATTAAGGTTATTTCTTTTATTTCTTATTGGCTTGTGGACTCCTCTGTGCTAACCCCAGATGCTTTTGTTTTGGCTTGTAACCTTTAAGCTGAACCTCAAGAGAGCTATCTTGATGCTTAATTTTTGTAATTGTTTCTTTTAAGATCTAGCAAAAAGCCTAAGTTCCAAATGTATTTCCTCTCTTTTTGTGTTTAATAAAATTTACCTTTTTTAAGAACAGGAATGGATGTTTGTGGTGGGGGGTTTCATCTTCCTCTGCAGCATAGGGAGCAGATCACAGGCAGGTTGCACTAGTGTAAATGGTACATTTTCTGTAACTTGAAGTCTTTAAACCATGATTTGAGGACTTCAGTAACTCAGCCAGAGGTTAGGGATCTATTATAGGAGTTATTATTATTATCCTTTACTATCTTTAGACTAACATTTCCTAGCTGTTTCCTGGGAAACGTCCCAGTTCAGTGTGAATCTACTGAGTATACATCTTTTAAAAAGTTGGCACTGAATGCAAAAAGGGATTCATTTTATAAAATTACATTAATACCTGTACTCAGGCTGTCGACTTATGGAATAGTCTTCCCTTGGCCATCTGTATCCTGGGTCCTCCTACAGCATATGAAGAAGAGATGGTTATATGAAGTTTAACATAAGAACGGCCCTACTGAGTCAGACCAAAGATCCATCTAGCCCAGTATCCTGTCCTCCGACAGTGGCCAGCGCCAGGTGCCCCAGAGGGAATGAACAGAACAGGTAATCATCAAGTGATCCTGTCGCTCATTCCCAGCTTCTGGCAAACTGAGGCTAGGAACACCATTCCTGCCCATCCTGGCTAATAGCCATTGATGGACCTATCCTCCATAAATTTATCCAGTTCTTTTTTGAACCCTGTTACGGTCTTGGCCTTCACAACATCCTCTGGCAAAGAGTTCCACAGGTTGACTGTGCATCGGGTGAAGAAATACTTCCTTTTATTTGTTTTAAACCTGCTACCTATTAATTTCATTTGGTGACCCTAGTTCTTGTGTTATGAGAAGTAGTAAACAACACTTCCTTATCTACTTTCTCTACATCAGTCATGATTTTATAGACCTCAATCATATCTCCCTTTAGCCGTCTCTTTTCCAAGCTAAAAGTACCAGTCTTATTAATCTCTCCTCATACAGAAGCCATCCATATCCCTAATCATTTTTGTTGCCCTTTTCTGAACTTTTTCCAATTCCAATATATCTTTTTTGAGATGGGGCGACCACATCTGCACACAGTATTCAAGATGTGGGAGTACCATGGATTTATATAGAGGCAACATGATATTGTCTGTCCTATTATCTATCTGTTTCTTAATTATTCCCAGCATTCTGTTAGCTTTTTTGACAGCCGATGAACACTGAGTGGATGTGTCCAGAGAACTATCCACAATGACTCCAAGATCTCTTTCTTGAGTGATAACAGCTATTTAGACCCCATCATTTTATATGTATAGTTGGGATTATGCTTTCAAATGTGCATTACTTTGCATTTATCAACATTAAATTTCACCTGCCATTTTGTTGCCCAGCCACCCAGTTTTGAGAGATCCTTTTGCAGCTCTTCGCAGTCTGCCTGGGTCTTAAGTATCTGTAGCAATTTTGTATCATCTGCAAATTTTGCCAACTCACTGTTTATCCCTTTTTCCAGATCATTTATCATGTTGAATAGGACTGGTCCCAGAACAGATTCCTTGGGGACACCACTATTTACCTTTCTCCATTCTGAAAACTGGCCATTTATACCTACCCTTTGTTTCCTATCTTTTAACCAATTACCAATCCATGAGAGCACCTTCCCTCTTACCCCATGGCAGCTTACTTTGCATAAGAGCCTTTGGTGATGGACCTTGTCAAAGGCTTTCTGAAAATCTAAGTACACTATATCCACTGGATCCCCTTAGTCCACATGCTTGTTGACCCCCTCAAAGAATTCTAGTAGATTGGTGAGGCATGATTTCCCTTTACTAAAACCATGATGACTCTTCCTCAACAAATTATGTTCATCTATATGTCTGACAATATTGTTCTTTATTATAGTTCATTCCAGTTTGCCTTGTACTGAAGTCAGGCTTACAGGCCTGGAATTGCTGGGATCACCTCTGGAGCCCTTTTTTAAATTTGGCGTCTCATTAGCTATCCTCCAGTCATCTGGTACGGAAGCTGATTTAAATGATAGGTTACAGACTACAATTAGTAGTTCTGCAATTTCACATTTGAGTTCCTTCAGAACTCTTGGGTGAATATCATCTAGTCCTGGTGACTTATTGCTGTTTATTTTATCAATTTGTTCCAAAACCTTCTCTAATGATACCTCAACAATATAGATGTATGATACAATTAGGAATAAATAAAAGTTGGTTACTATCTACCATGTTACAAAAGCATTTAATAGATTTATAGGACGGAATTTTAAAAAAATCTTTCAGAGACATTTTCTCCCACTATTTGTCCATTTCTCCCCACCCCGCTCACTTTCTTCAAGACCACCCATACACACTCATTCTTCTCCTCTCTTCACACCAAAAAATTGTAATATTATATACTGTGAAAAGTAACAATATTAAATCCAAATCAGGACTGAGTCTCAACAATAAGTAATCTTTATTGTGCCATCTTAGCAATAATGGGAAAACTGCTAGCTTGAAATTTTGTATATTTCAAACTTTTTGAATAAGACAGGGAGGTACCTGTTTTTCAGAAATTATCACTGATTTTGTATCCACAAGAGCAGGCATACATGATTGTGATTCATATCACGGAATTCAACTATGTATTACTGCCCTTGCAAATCAGGAGGCTAGATGGACAAGTGCCAGAAAATGAACTGCATTTATTTGAGCCCATTAACTTGCACATACAAGCATCTGGGATGTGTGGAAGAACTCTCCAAACCACTTATAAGCTCTCCACCTCAAACCCATGTAGGAGAATGGGCGAGGAAAACGAAAGACAGACAAGGCTTCTGGCCACTTATGTTCTACCCAAACAGACAGGGATACAGCACTGCTGTGCACTCCCGGAGTAGCTGCTGAAGTGCAGGCAAATGAGAATGTAGTGTCATTATCTTCCAATCATGACAGACTTAGAAGCGAAAATGACTGCATGCACAGTACTGTCAAAAGCAAAAAAAATAATAATAATAATAATTAATTAATTAAAAAATTGTTTTTTCCTTTAACCTTTCAGTTTAATTATTTACAATAATATTGAAAAATGTTCAGGGAGAAATTATTTTTGAGATGACAATGTCTCTAATTGTGCACACAGATTCAAGCATGAATGAAAAGACAAGCAATACGTTCATGGGAGAAAAATCAAGTTACGTACCCCTCTATGTGGTGGGCCACTTCTTCGTTCATGGGCAAAACTGCGGCCCTCCTCATAGTCTCTGTAGTCAACATGACTATAATCATCATATCTACTGTAACTTCCTTCTGCAGGTCTATCTAGTAGTGGTGGTTTCTTGGGTGCAACATTAACTACTCTATGGTAGTCATCCTAAAAATACAAAAGAAATATAATTTTCACAACAGACTTCCAGTAGTAAAACACAAAAGTTTAAAAAAGGGGGGAGGGGTGGGAGCGCATGAATGTGGTTATTCCAAAAAATATTGAATGGCAACATTCTTAAAAAGGCTACATACTTAAGTGTGGAGAAAACATGAAAGAAAAGCAGCAAGTAAGTCTGATGATGGATAACACATTACATTTATATGGTGTCTAATCTGATGTAGCATCCCAGTCATCTTGTGTTTATAGGGAAATGTCAAAAAAGTTATCTGTGAGTAGTCTTAAAACCCTAAAAATAAGGTCTCAATTTTTTTAAAAAATTACTCCAGTTTATATTTCTTATATGCTTTGACACCAATTTCAGAAATGACAGCAATAAAGAAAATTGTCTTCTGCAATGCCTCACAAATAAGGGCCTGTCGATAAATGTAATTTAGTATTTGAATGCCAATAGTGTACTCAAAATACAGAACATAGAGGAGGTAGTGTTTGCTCAAAAGAGATCAATCTGAATAGAGAAGTAATACAATTCTGACACAATGCAGTAGATCACCAGAGGATGCATTCAAGTGAGTGTTTTAATGCTTGCATTTTTGTTTTATTTTTTCTAAATAAGTTGCAACACTGACAATGGATTTAAAGTGAACAGTGCCTTATCTCTGTTTTGTTGGAACGTATAATTCTTCCATTACAATTCCTTCAGAATAAAACTTAATATACCAGTTATCAATTCAAGAAATGTCCACCCCCCAAGTGTGGTTTAGACTGGCTGGACCACTTTGTTCCCCTTAGGTTAAACAAGTATTTTTTGTTTGTTTGTGTCATGATGTATGGATCTTGAATCCAGGCCCGCAAGGTCTATGAGAGCAGCCACACTCCACTCTTCCACCCAGCAGCCTGCTGGCAATAGCTTGCCTGAAACCCATGAAGCCCAGTCCCAGTGTGAGGCTCCGCCCTTGTGTGCCGATTGGCAGAGTCCCAGAGTGGTTGACTGGCCCTACTTAAGCCAGAAGTAGGAACAGGAAGCTGCCCAAACAACTGGGCTCCACCCTGCTCTGGACAGTGTGTCTTGTACTTCCCGGCCCTGCTACCCATAGGTACTGACTCCGTGGGGAAAAAATAGGGGGTTTTTTAGCACCCACAGGGCCAGATTAATCTTTTGTGGGCCCCACCCCCTCACCCCCACTCAACCTCTTTCCGAGGTCCCGCCCACCGCTCGGCTTCTTCCGAGGCCCCACATGCCGCTCCTTCCTTTTTCAAGTTGTAGTCACAATCTAATGCTTTGAAACTTTCAGCAGGAAGAGGTATATTAGGGTCATAGACTGTTAATATATTATAAATAAACTTGCTGACGGCCCAGCAAGTTTACTAAAGATCAGTTACAGACACCTAATGAAAAAAAATTAAATCTCACTCCATAGACTAGATACAATGTAGAGGCCACACATATACAAAATATCACAGGGCTTGATGAACCATTGAAGGCAAACTATCTCGTGAAATACCATTCCTAACATATACATTAGGCTTATGATTTGGTGGCCCTGAAAGAACATATGGTCTGAAGCTATGTAGAAGTATTCACTCTCCCACTCCACCCAAAAGATTAAATCACAAAACCGTACCAATGACATATAGAAAACACTATTTTAAAGTGATCCAACAGTAAGAATATTGTAAAGGTGTGAACAATATTGTGCAGAGTATGGGCAACCCTGCAAAATCCTACTGTCTGGCATTTTATCATTTGCCAACATCTGAGATCTCATTCTACAATAGACTTTATTTTGATATGTTACGTTCAGTTTCAGGACCAAGCTTAAGGCTCCTGTTCTCTGGAATAGTAGAGACAAGCCACACAGAGATATGCCAGTCATTAAAAATTGACATGAATATTATTCCTGGGCTGGAATATTTTATCTCCTTATCGTCTGCCATGAAGACTGATCATTATGAATGTACTAATGATATTTTGCATGACCATCCAAAAACAAAATTAAAAAATACTCCTTGCCCTGAGCAAGTAGAATTTTGCAAGTCTGGATGTGACACTCAGTGGTGATGAAGGAAATTGCCTTTCAGTAGCTACCTCAAAGCAACAGAGCAGAACCAGAAGAAGCCACACATCCTAGCTTCATAGTATAATAAATTGAGATTGACAAACCAAAGTTTTGCCATTAATTTTTTTGGGAGGTATATCAGTAGACTCTACTGGTCATGCCATTCTATTTTGATGTTATTTGGAATATAAACCTACAGTTGGGGTACTTGGTTCAGTCTCTCTTGTATGATAATATTATTATACCACTTCAATGCTCAGAGATTTTTCCTTTATAACTAACCTTAAGCATAAACCTCCATAATGTGTATGCTATACTTGTTTCCTAGAGAGTTTGAAGGACTAATAAAATGTATTGCTGTAATGGTTACATTAAGTTAGCAAATTGTTAGACAAATCAAATGTTACTTTGTTTAAAAAAAAATCTAATATCTGTAAAAGTCCATCTGCCTTTCCTTTTGTTCTATTGCTGATAAGACTACTTGAGGAGCAACTAAGTATCTGACTAAATACCCTGTTCAAACTTATCTGGTTTCCAGTTTGTTGAAAATGGAGAAATTTTGCTGACTCCTGTAAAGAAAGTTAAAACATCACACAACAGCCAAAACACCAATACACTGATCAACAGAAAGAGAGAGTCATATACACCTTGTGACACTAGTTACCAATACCAGTAAGTTACAAAAAGTGCAGGCTGAGAATATGTGATGGGAGGGTGAAATAAGATAAAAGGTAGCCCAAGTAAACTGAACAACCACTAAATCTCCAAGATTCACTAAGAAGGGGGGAGGACATAAAGTAGACAGCAGAGACTGATACCTGAGGTTTTATGTTGCCAAATACATACTGTGTACCCTGTAATCAGAATAATTTAGAAAATGTTCTTTAAATTCTATTTAACTGCAACAGCTCAAAACCTAAATTTAAGAGTGATTTTGATTTCTCTCTTCTCCAGCTATTCAGATATAGAAGAAAATAGTTTACCTACTTTGTTCTTTTTTGTAGAGTTTTGTAAATGTTTGTGTTTACTTTTAGAGACCTAAAATAGGTAGCTGAAAATCTAATTTTAGAACTGAGAACAAAATGAGTTTTGCAAACAGACTACATGTCATTAACTATACGGTTTCCTTTGTAATTAATGTCCCAATAAGTATCTAATAGGCAGCTGCTGCTAATTTGTATTTTCAATACTTAATGTTTAAACTTTTGCTTAAATCTTTGCATCCAGCAAGAGCATTGTTTCTTACTGCTCTACATAAGCCCTTGAGTTCACAATCTCAGCACCTCAGTCCAGTTTTAAAATTTGATAGAGAAAGCAAAAAAACCCCAACCAACCAACCAAACAAAAAACAATTATTTCCAGCAAATTGTATAGCCTCAATAAAACCTGGAAGAATCTGAATGGTCCATGTTTAACTGCATACAAAATATACTGAACACTTATGTACAGCAGATTATCTACTTGAAATGCTTCCCAGGGCATATCACCCTGATTCTATACAAGGAGCCATGTTGGCAGACTCTATCATCCATGTGGAGTCCAGTTAACTTCAAGGGACTCACAAATTCACAAGGTCTGCCCAAGCAGATCCATTTGCAGGATCAGTATCTTAAATGTTAGTCCACAATATGATCTCTGAAAATGGAATTAAATGATAAGAAAAAAAATTAATGAAAAGATTCAGGCTTTAATAAGTACTATTTTTTTTTAAAAGTACAAGCCCGATATTTAAACAATATAGCATATACTTACGTCAGAATGAATTCTTGGTGGGAGTCGTTCTCTTGGAAGTCTTTCATACTCATATCGTCCTTCAGACCACATTTCATCTCTTCTATAGGCCACTAAAGATAAAAATTCAAGCAGACAAAAATATACGTGTTATGCACAGGTAAGAAGCAAGAAGTATCAAAATAAGAAGTCTCCTATTTGTCCTAATATAACATATTATGCACAGAAAGAAAAAGCACTACATTCTTTTTGAAAGGGCTTAATGAACACTGGACACTGTCCAGCTAAAAAACTGAAAAGGAGTATTGTCTATTGTTTCATAAAAAAGTATTAGACTGGAAATCTGATGACATCATTGCTCTAAGCCTCCAAAATACGAGACTATTTTGAAAACTTGGTAAATATGAATATTTTCATAAAAGTTTGATATACCAGCCTGTTAAAAACCCAATTATTTACTATTCTGACAACCATTTACTTTCTCCATACCTGAACTGTGAATGTTGTAATTTGGAACTAAAACAGTCTTTGCTGAGACTAAGGCCTTTGCTAGGCTGAAAAAAATCTTGGTTTGACTTTTATAAAGTTGTGCATTGTGCAGTTCAAAAAAGCCCTATTGCATGTGTAGCAATAATTAGGAAAGTGAGTACATGTTGATTCAATTAAATTATAGGGCTTATTCATATGATGCACAGGATAGCAGCGCTAGGGTGGCCAACTTTCTAATGTCTGAAAACCGGACCTTCTGCCCCACCTCTTGCCCTGAGGCTCTGCCCACAGCTCCACCTCTTCATGAGGCCTCGCCCACTGCTCCACCTCTTCACACAAGGCCCCATCCCCTGCTTGCTCCTCTTCCCCCCACTCCTCCTGTCGCTCACTGCTCTCCCCGTCAACTCCAGTGTGAGCAGCCCCCAGGGACTTGCAAACCCCAGCTGCAGCAATCCGCCTGGAAGTGAAGATCAGAAGAGCGCTGTGGCTGCACAGGAGCAGCCAGGCAGCCCCATGCCTCCCTCTGCGCTGCCTGCCCAGCAGCCCCCTTCCCCGCCTGCTTGAGCCCTCCCCACCCCAGAGCTGCCTGACAGCGTAGTCAGGGGAAGCGGCATCTGGCAGGGCAGCTTGCATACCTTCCTTCCTGGGGAATGTTCCATGCCCACTGAGAGTCCTTACACCACTCGCCATAGGTCCCAGCTCTCTGTCTTCCACCGCAGCCCTGGAAACTGCGCTCCTCAGAGGGACTGCCTGCAGCCCGAACTAGTGCATATGTGCTGACGCAGCAGCTGCACTTCAGGCCCTGGCAACAGGCTGTCACTCCCGTGGTAACCAGACTTTTAGTATACAGTCAGTACATCTGACCGGACACTGCCAGTTTCCCTGTTCAACCATACTTTCGAAGACGGGACACCTAGGAACCCTAAGCAGCACCAGTCCACTATACACAGCTTACAATCTCCACTTGTACAAAAGCCTTCCCCACCAACCCTGCACACAAATGTTACTGCAACATTAATATTGCACAGTTAAAATCACAGCCAGGAAATGCAAAAAAAAAAAGTATTTCACTCCACTTTCTAATAAGGTTGAACAATTCCAAAATATTACATTTCAATTTCCACTTAGCCTTTCTATGGATCAGTTTAGCCATCTGTAAAATTACAAAAGCATGATACAGAACTCAGAAGAGAGCTGTGAAACTCAGCATGTTTAATGTGTTTTTAAAAATTGTGGTCTCTGACAGAATGCAAAATCTCTTTTTCTTGGAATTAAATTAATTAAAATTTCTATTCTTAAATAATCTGTATAAAGTGTATCCAGGTTGGAGTACAACCATTACTATAATAAGAAAACCTCACCATCCAGCGTGTAACATAATTCACCAAATTTAAGAGATCCAGTAGGAAGTGGCAAAAAATGACAAAAACGGAAAACCCCAATCTGCAATGTATTTTGGGATGGATATAGAAATACAAAAGAAAGACACATAAATTAAATAAGAGTTTGCTGAAATTACATTTAAATTCTTTTCCTCTTGGGTAATGATAGTTCCAACTATTAAAACTGAATGGTCCAATGGGGGAGGGGGGGAGGGGGAGGAAAGGAACAGCCATAGGAGACCTATGATTCCCACAGTATAGATCCTGTACAAAGTCTTTAATGAGGAAAGTCTTTGATAAAGAAAGTAAGGAGCAGGACATGCCAAAAAGAGACAAACCCACCAACAATTGGAAGGTGAGGACCTATGAAACTTTCTGGTGTAACCTCATACTAGGAAAAACACCAAACAAAAACAAAACCAGAAAGCAACTGTACTCGGGATTTTTAAAAAAGAGTAACCACAAAAATCTGGTAAGCTTATTTATTGCACTATTTCTTAACTGTTACCACAAGTAGTACTAGTTTAGCTATATATATATTGCAAAAGAGCACAAACAAAAACTTCGTATCTGTACCACTTACTTTTGGGTCTATTTTATCAACCAGTATTTGAAGTCCCATTCAATTAGTTCCTAAGAAATTAAAAACAAAAATACATTAGCAAAAAACAAAAAAACCCACCAAAATACAAAACAGAACAAAAAAAACAAAAAAATCACCAACCTACACATTTAAAATACAATACTTTTGCTTTCTCACTATTAGTTTTCACTAAGAAAATTAATCCATTTTTTTTT